CACCCCACCCCAGGCCTTCAGCACCCTATTGTCTGTGTCCATGGGTTATGCATATATGCATGCATGGTCTTTGGTTGATTACCTCCCACCCACCCACCTTCCCCCGCCTTCCCTCTGAGATTCCACACTCTGTTCCATGCTTCTGTGTCTCTGGATCCACTCTGTTTATGTTTATTTTGTTACTTAGATTCCACATATGAGTGCAATCATGTGATACTTGTCTTTCTCTGACTGACTTATTTCACTTAGCATGATACTCTCCAGGTCCCTCCAGTTTGTCTCAAAGGGTAGGAGGCTCTTCTTTTTTACTGCTGCATAGTATTCCATGGTGTAAAGGTACCACAGCTTTTTTATCCACTCATCTACTGATGGGCACTTGGGTTGTTTCCAGATCTTAGCCATTGTAAATTGTGCTGAACATAGGGGTGCATACATTATTTCTGATTGGTGCTTCGGGTTTCTTAGGATATATTCCTAGAAGTGGGATCACTGGGTCAAATGGCAGTTCCATATTTAATTTTTTGAGAAAACGCCATACTGTTTTCCATAATGATTGCATCAGTCGCATTCCTACCAGCAGTGTACTAGGGTTCCCTTTTCTCCACATCCTCACCAGCACTTGTCATTTGTTGATTTGATGATGGTAGCCATTCTGACAGGTGTGAGATGTAAACTTATTGTCGTTTTAATTTGCATCTCTCTGATGATCCATGACTTTGAGCATTTTTTCATATGTCTCTTGACTTCTTTGGAGAAGTGTCTATTAAGGTCCTTTGCCCATTTTTTATTTGGATTGTTTGTCTTCCCTTCGTTAAGTTGTATGAGTTCCTTATATATTTTGGATATTAACCCTTTATCAGATGTATCATTGCCAAATACATTCTCCCATACAGTGGGCTCTCTTTTCATTTTGTTGATGGTTTCTTTTGCTGTAAAGACACTTTTTATTTTGATATAGTCCCATTTGTTTAGTTTCTCTTTAGTTTCATTTGCCTTAGGAGATATATCTATAAATATATTGTGACGAGAGATGTCTGAGATTTTGCTGCCTATGGTTTCTTCTAGATTTTTTTATGGATTCACAACTTACATTTAAGTCTTTTACCCATTTTGAGTTTATTCTTGTGTATGGTATAAGTTGGTGGTCTAGTTTCATTGTTTTGCATGTATCTGTCCAATTTTCCCAAAACCATTTATTGATGAGACTGTTGAGTCCATTGTATGTTCTTGCCTCCTTTATCAAATATTAATTGAGCAGAATGGCTTGGGTCAATTTCTGAGTTCTCTGTTCTGTTCCATTGATCTATATGCCTGTTCTTGTGCCAATACCAGGCTGTTTTGATTACGGTGGCTTTGTAGTATAACTTGAAATCTGGTATCATGACTCTGTTTGTTTTTCTTTCTTAAGGTCACTACAGCTATTTGGGGTCTTTTTTATTCCATATACATTTTGGAGTATTTTTTTCTAGCTCTGTGAAATATGCTGTTGGTATTTTAATAGGGATTGTATTGAATCTGTAGATTGCCTTGGGTAATATGAACATTTTAATGATATTGATTCTACTAATCCATGAGCCTGGTATATTCTTCCACTTGTTAATATCTTCCTCTATCTCTTTTTTTCAATGTCCTGTAGTTTTCAAGTATAGGTCTTTTGCCTCCTTGGTTAAGTTTATTCCTAAGTATTTTGTTTTATTTTTGTTGTTGTTGTTGTAATAGCAAATGGGATTGTTTGGTTAGTTTCTCTTTCTGAGAATTCATTATTGGTGTGTAAAAAAAACCATCAATTTTTTGGGTGTTGATTTTGTATCCTGCTACATTGCCAAATTCATTTATTAAATCTAGTATTTTTTTGGTGGAGTCTTTAGGGTTTTTATGTATAATATCATGTCATCTGCGAATAATGAGAGTTTTACTTTCTCCTTTCCAATTTGGATGCCTTTTATTTCTTCTTGTTGTTTGATCACTGTGGCTAGGACTTCCAATTCTATGTTGATTAAGAGTGGTGAAAGTGGACATCCCTGTCTTGTTCCTGTTCTTAAGGGAAAATGGTTTTAGTTTTTGCCCATTGAGTATGATGTTTGCTGTTGGTCTGTCATATATGGCCTTTATCATGTTGAGATATGCTCCCTCTATTCCCACTTTGCTGAGAGCTTTTATATAAAAAATCCTTACTTTTTTTGTTTGTTTTTTTACAATGCATCAAGAGCTTTTTGAAATTCTAAGTGCATCATAGCTATAGGTTTTCCTCTCTCCAACTTTATTTCCCCCTCAATTATTATTCATAGTTTAGTCAGGTTAGGGTTCTCCTTGTTGAAAATAAGTTTTATTTCCCCATAAGGCTATTTTTATAGGGATCATGGGTCCTCATCTTTCACTTGGGCCCTGCAGGCTAGTAGATATGGGTCTAAAAATTACTGGATGCCTCCTGAATCATTTGGGGTGAAGGGTCATGATTGCTTGTTCCAGTTTTCCAGCCCCATGGCCAGTAAAAAGGACAGATTATTTCTAGGGCTGCCAAATAAAATTCAGGATCCTCAGTTAAATTTAAATTTCAAATAAACAAATAATTATTAATATATGTATGATTTGAGGCTTACTTATACTAAAAATAATTTATCTGAAAATCAAATTTAATTGAACATCCTATATTTTTATTTGCTAAACCTGAAAACTCTATCTCATTTGGGCCAATAATTACTCTTCAATGTTATTCATTATTGGTTTTGGCACCCAAGAAGTGTGAGTCGGGCAGATTCAGGTTCAAATCCTGGATTCTCCACACAAGAGATAGAATATTTTTTCTCTCGGAATTATTATCTATGAAATAGAAATAATAGCACTACCTCATGAGGTTGTTGGAAATATCAAATGAGATAATATTTGTATAGCACTTAGCACAGTGCCTGGTACTTACTAAGCACTCTGTGGCTGTTATTATTGTCAATTTTATACAGAACATTATGTGAGCTGGTCAAGATTTGACCTAGTACTGCAAAACTCTCCATTTACAGAGTGAATTTGGGAATGGGGCTCTCCCTAGTATCTCTTTTGGTGATGACCAAGGCAAAGTGGCATCTAGCCACTTTCTTTTTGTTTCTGAATATTCCTTTGTTAAGAGCCCCAGATTCATTCTTCAGTTGGCTTTCTCCTTTTAATATAATTATTTTTGTGCATGTGTTTTGCAGGGTCACCTAGAATTCCTCAAGTTAGAAGCCATTATCTTCCCTGATGCAAATACTTCAGTTGCTGATAATCACATTTGAAATGCTATCCTCAAGCCAATGACTAATGAGTTTGGCTGATAAAAGGAAGCATCCCTAATCAATATAAGTTTAAGTGGAATGCATAGAAAGCAAGATACCACAGATACTGAGAAGTCTCTGATTCTCACAAGGAGGTCAAGCAATGAATTAAATTGGTTTTCCATTTGCCTTTATCCTACCTTCAATGCCTTCCTTCTTTTGGTGCACACTGGCTTAATTGTTTCTCCCCTCAGGGAGGTCTTCAGTTTCTTTATATTCTCTTCTCAGACCCACCCATCCCCATCAAAATTTACCCATCTGCTTTACCACTCATCCTAGCATCTAATCAGATGTTATTTCATCTTAACATGCTAATGGGTTTAAAAGATTCTATTGAGTCCTCCTCCCAAGCCACAGGCTTTTTTCAACCACTAAACCTGAAGAAGTAACCTTAACAGTAGCTTTTTAGCAGATAAGGGAGACCATGCAGAACCCCTTAAATCACACCATGTTATCAGCTGCCTGTTCTGTCTGCTTCACGTGAATAGAAGGAAGCAGTAGTGCAGATAATCTAAAGATCATTTCCACTTGGTTTGGGAATGTACCACACGGTGTTGTTGTTGATTTGCTTTGCTAATTATGTTCTACTTAAGCTAATATTGAAATTGGTTCACATTTTTTAAGCTCATCTGGGCCAGAAGAGGGAAGAGATGGTGGTATGGTACACTTTGAAATGAAGTAAAGCTGACCACAATCATGAAGAGGATATGAAAGCTGTATATGTGGGCTAATAAATCTAGAAGACAAATGCAAAAGGATCAAGATAGCACTTTGCCAATTACACATGGGAGGAATAGGTCCACCTACCACATATGATTCACTGGGCACTGAAAGGCCAGTCTTCACAATGACCTGCCCAGAATCTGAAATCCTCTGTATCAGGAACCTAATTAAGGGTATTAGTCATAATATAACTATAATTAAATCATTATGTGACCTAAGAGGATCAACACATTTCCTAGCAGACACATTAGCAGTTTGTCTGACTAAATCATCAGTCATTATTGTCACGTAGTAGAAAATGCAATGAAAGGGTAAGACACAAGATAGTTGTACCTTGATGGGAGTATGGGTATACTGTGAGGTCTCTAGGCAGCTATTGTGGAAGTATGAGAGCATCGAGTTCCTTGGAGGTTAGCTGTGAGGGTTGCTAAAAGAGGGTAAAACAACCTTCACCTCTTCTCACATTTTCTTAGTTTCCTTCTTATGGTAGATATAAAGTACATGCAACTGGCCCTGGCCAGGCGGCTCAGCTGGCTGGAGTATCACTCCATGCAACAAAGGGTTGTGGGTTTGATTCACAGTCAGGGCACATACCTAGGCACAGGTTTGATCGGGGCATGTAAGGGAGGCAACTGGTCAATGATTTTTCTCTCTGAGAGAAAGAGAGAGAGAGAAAGAGAGAGAGAGAGAGAGAGAGAGAGAGAGAGAGAGAGAGAGAGAGAGAGAGAGAGAGAGAGAGAGAGAGAGAGAGAGAGAATATTCAACTGGATCAAATAAATTCTTCCCTTCCTTACTCTTCTTCTGCTGTGCAACTGGGCTTTTAAGAGATTCTAGAAATTTCAGAGATCTTGGGGGGTTTTCTTTGAGGCATGTCATTTAGAGCCAAAGCCTAAATGTACATTGTATTTCCAACCATGTAAGTTGAAGCAAGGAACCATGGTGCTATTGAAATTTCTCTTTTTCTCATTGCAGTCTGCTCCCAGTTCTCGAGAGGGGTGTATGCCATCTTTGGATTTTATGACCAGATGTCAATGAACACTCTGACCTCCTTCTGTGGGGCCCTGCACACGTCTTTTGTCACCCCCAGCTTTCCCACTGATGCAGATGTGCAGTTTGTCATCCAGATGCGCCCAGCGTTGAAGGGTGCTATTCTGAGTCTTCTGGGTCACTACAAGTGGGAGAAGTTTGTGTATCTCTATGACACAGAAAGAGGTAAGAAGAGGCATCTGCTCTCCTTTTTGAATATTCATATTGTTAATATTCATATTAACTGTGGTGTTTAACCGTCCTTCTTAAAACACTACACCATGACCCTGTTCCAAAATTTTCTTTTTTTTCCCTTTTTTTTTAATTGCTTAAAGTATTACAAAGAGTATTACATATGTCTCCTTTTTTTTCCCCTGCCCTTGACAATCCCCTGGCCTCCCCTACCCCCCAGTGTCTTATGTCCATTGGTAATGCTTATATGCATGCATACGAGTCCTTTGGTTGATCTCTTACCCACCCCCCTCCTGACCTCCTACCCTCCCCGGCCTTCCTGCTGTAGTTTGACAGTCTCTTTGAGGCAGCTCTGCCTCTGTATATATTTTTGTTCATAAGTTAATAATGGTCTTTATTGTCCAGAAATGAGTGAGATCATGTGGTATTTTTCCTTCATTGACTGGCTTATTTCACTTAGCATAATGCTCTCCAGTCCCATCCATGCTGTTGCAAATGGTAAGAGCTCCTTCTTTTTTACAGCAGCATAGTATTCCATCATGTAGATGTACCACAGTTTTCTAATCCATTCATCTACTGATGGGCACTTAGGCTGTTTCCAGATCTTAGCTATGGTGAATTGTGCTGCTATGAACATAGGGGTGCATATATCCTTTCTGATTGGTGTTTCTGGTTTCTTGGGATATATTCCTAGAAGTGGGATCACAGGGTCAAATGGGAGTTCCATTTTCAGTTTTTTGAGGAAACTCCATACTGTCTTCCATAGTGGCTGCACCAGTCTGAATTCCCACCAGCAGTGCACAAGTGTTCCTTTTTCTCCACATCCTCTCCAGCACTTGTCGTTTGTTGATTTGTTGATGATAGCCAGTCTGACAGGTGTGAGATGGTACCTCATTGTTGTTTTGATTTGCATCTCTTGGATGATTAGTGACTTTGAGCATGTTTTCATATGTCTCTTGGCTTTCTGAATGTCCTCTTTTGAAAGGTGTCTATTTAGGTCCTTTGCCCATTTTTTGATTGGATTGTTTATCTTCCTTTTGTTAAGCTGTATGAGTTCCCTATAAATTTTGGAGATTAGGCCTTTATCAGATATGACATTGGCAAATATGTTTTCCCACACAGTGGGTTTTCTCGTTGTATTGTTGATGGTTTCGTTTGCTGTGCAAAAACTTTTTATTTTGATGTAGTCCCATTTGTTTATTTTCTCTTTAGTTTCCAATGCCCTAGGAGCTGTATCGGTGAAGAAATTGCTTCAGCATATGTCTGAGATTTTGTTGCCTTTGGATTCTTCTAGTATTTGTATGGTTTCCCGTCGTATATTTAAGTCCTTTATCCATTTTGAGTTTATTTTTGTGTATGGTGTAAGTTGGTGGTCTAGTTTCATTTTCTGCATGTATCTGTCGAATTTTCCCTACACCATTTATTGAAGAGACTATCTTGACTCCATTGTATGTTCTTGCCTCCCTGGTCAAATATTAATTGAGCGTATTGGTTGGGGCTGATTTCTGGGCTCTCTATTCTATTCCATTGATCTATATGTCTGTTCTTGTGCCAGTACCAGGCAGTTTTGAGAACAGTGGCTTTGTAATACAGCTTGATATCTGGTATTGAGATCCCACCTACTTTGTTCTTTCTCAGGATCACTGCAGCTATTCGGGGTCGTTTTTTATTCCAGATGAATTTTTGGAGAGTACGTTCTAGGTCTGTGAAATATGCCATTGGTATTTTAATGGGAAGTGCGTTGAATTTATAGATTGCTTTGGGCAGTATGGACATTTTAATGATGTTGATTCTACCAATCCAGGAACATGGTATGTTCTTCCATCTGTTTATGTCTTCCTCTATCCCTTTTTTCAAGGTCCTGTAGTTTCCTGAGAAGAGGTCTTTTACCTCTTTAGTTAAGTTTATTCCTAGGTAGCTTAATTTTTTTGGTGTGATGGTAAATGGGATTGCTATTTTAGTCTCTCTTTCTGCACATTCACTATTGGTGTATAGAAATGCCATAGATTTCTTGGCGTTAATTTTGTATCCTGCTACATTGCCGAATTCTTTTATTAAGTCTAATAGTTTATTGATGGAGTCTTTAGGGGTTTTTAAGTATAATATCATGTCATCTGCAAATAAGGAGAGTTTTACTTCTTGTTTTCCAATTTGGATGCCTTTTCTTTCTTCTTCTTGTCTAATTGCAATGGCTAATACTTCCAGTACTATGTCGAACAGGAGTGGTGAGAGTGGGCATCACTGTCTTGTTCCTGTTCTTAGGGCAAATGGTGTTAGTTTTTGTCCATTGAGTATGATGTTGGCTGTGGGTTTGTCATATATGGCTTTTATTATGTTGAGGTATGATCCTTCTACTCCCGCCTTACTGAGAGTTTTCATTGAAAATGGGTGTTGAATTTTGTCAAATGCTTTTTCTGCATCAATTGATATGACCATGTGGTTTTTTTCTTTCAATTTGTTTATGTGATGTATCACGTTTATTGATTTGCGGATATTGTACCATCCTTGCATCCCTGGAATAAATCCTACTTGGTCATGGTGTATGATCTTTCTGACGTACTGCTGGATCCGATTTGCTAAGATTTTGTTGAGGATTTTGGCATCTATGTTCATGAGGGATATTGGCCTGTAATTCTCTTTCATTGTGTTGTCTTTACCTGGTTTTGGTATTAGGGTGATGCTGGCTTCATAGAATGAGCTTGGAAGTGTTCCTTCCTCTTGGATTTTTTGTAGTAGTCTGAGGAGGATAGATTTTAGTTCTTCCTTGAATGTTTGGTAAAACTCCCCTGTGAAGCCGTCTGGTCCTGGGATTTTGTTTGCTGGAAGCTTTTTGATGACTGCTTCAATTTCTTCCATAGTTATTGGCCTATTGAGATTTTTAGATTCTTCCTGATTAAGTTTTGGAATGTTGTATTTTGATAGGAATATGTCCATTTCCTCCAGGTTGTCTAGTTGGTTGGAGTAGAATTGTCCATTGTATTTTTTAACAATCATTTGTATTTCTGTGGGATCTGTTGTTATTTCGCCTCTATCATTTCTGATTTTGTTGATTGGGGTCCTTTATCTTTGCTTCTTGGTGAGCCTGGCTAGAGGTTTGTCAATCTTTTTTATCCTTTCAAAGAACCAGCTCTTTGTTTCATTGATTTTCTGTATTTTTTTTGGTCTCTATGTCATTTATTTCTGCTCTAATCTTTATTATCTCCTTCCTTCTGCTCACTCTGGGCTTTTCTTTTTGCTCTCTTTCTAATTCTTTGAACTGTAGACTTAGATGATTTACTACCATTTTTTCTTGTTTGTTGAGATAGGCCTGTAGAGCTATAAACTTCCCTCTCAGGACTGCTTTCATTGCGTCCCAAAGGTTTTGGATTGTTGTGTTTTCATTGTCATTAGTTTCCAGGATGTTTTTAATTTCTTCTTTGATCTCATTGGTAACCCAATCAATATTTAATAACGTGCTATTCAGCTTCCAAGTGTTTGAGTATTTTGGGTGGTTTTTATTGTAGTTTATTTCTAATATTATGGCCTTGTGATCTGAGAAGATGCTTGGTATGATTTCAGTCTTCTTGAATTTGTGGAGACTTTGTTTGTGACCCAATATGTGGTCTATATTTGAAGATGTCCCATGAGCACTTGAGAAGAACGTATATTTTGTGGCTTTGGGGTGAAGTGTTCTGAAGATGTCAATTAAGTCCATCTGATCTAGTGAGTCATTTAGGATTGCTGTTTCTTTGCTGAGTTTTTGTCTAGCGGATTTATCCAGTGATGTCAGTGGTGTATTAAAGTCCCCTACTATGATTGTGTTGTTGTCAATCTCTCCCCTGATATCTTCCAAGAGTTTTCTTATGTATGTGGGTGCTCCTGCATTGGGTGCATATATGTTTATCAGGGTTATATCCTCTTGTTGTATTGATCCCTTTAGTATTATGAAGTGGCCTTTCTTATCTCTTGTTATGGCCTTCACTTTGAGGTCAATTTTGCTTGATATAAGTATTGCTACCCCAGCTTTTTTTCCATTTCCATTTGCCTGAAAGATATTTTTCCAACCCTTCACTTTCAGTCTGTGTGAGTCCCTTCTAATGAGGTGGGTCTCTTATAGACAGCAAATATATGGGTCATGTTTTTTTATCCATTTAGCCACTCGATGTCTTTTGATCGGACCATTTAGTCCATTTACGTTTAAAGTTATTATTGAAAGGTACTTGTTTGTAGCCATTTCTATTTTTTTCTGTGTGTGGCTGTTTTCTTTCTGGGCTTTGTAGTTCTTCTTTTTACACCAGTCCCTTTAGCATTTCTTGCATTGCTGGCTTGGTGGTGATAAACTCCCTTAGCCTTTTTTTGTCTGTGAAGCTTCTTATTTCCCCTTCAATTCTGAATGACAGCCTTGCTGGATAGAGTATTCTTGGATTCAGTCCTTTGCTTTGAATCACTTTGTAAATTTCTGTCCATTCTTTTCTGGCCTGATGTGTTTCTGTTGAGAAATCATTTGATAATCTGATGGGGGATCCTTTGTAGGTAACTCTCTGTTTCTCTCTTGCAGCCTTTAAGATTGTGTCTTTGTCTTGTACATTTGCCATCGTTATTATGACATATCTTGGTGTGGGTCTTTTGGGGTTCATCTTGCCTGGGACTCTCTGTACTTGTGTAACTTTTTTCTTCCCCATATCTGGGAAGTTTTCTGACATTATTTCTTCAAATAGATTTTCTAATCCTTGCTGCTCTTCTTGTCCTTCTTGCAGCCCTATTATGCGTCTGTTACTTCGTTTCATGTTGTCCCGAAGCTCCCTTAGGCTCTCCCCCTGCTTTTTAATTTTTTTCTCCAGTTGTTGTTCAGATTGAGCTTGTTTCTCTGCCTTATCTTCTAATTCACTAATTCGGTCCTCTGCTTCTTCTAGTCTGCTGTTGAAACTTTCCATGGTGTTTTTGATTGTAGCTATATCACTTTTCATTTCTTCCTGATTCTTGCATAGGTTGTTGATTTTCTCATCCATCCGGTG